AGACTGTATTAACTAAGCAAAATACGAATTGGGTTACGTGTACTTCAATCAAGAAATTTTCCTTGTCAGAAAAGTCTGAATGCTCTGTAGGTCTTCTCCCCGCCACCCCCCAAAATTGCTGTAATCCTGTTCAAAAACCATTCTGCCATCATATACGGGGAATCCTCACTGGAAAGAAAAAGAGATCAGGCTTTTAGAAGACTATCTAGAAGTACTTTTTCAGGCCCCACCGCTTCAATGGATTTTTAAAACCCTCGTAAAGCTGCTTTCTTTCAAAAAATTTTTTTTTTTCCCTCAAATAGCCACCTTTGATTTATCTGTGCTCCAGGGTTACCGGGCAGGATGAACAGCGTGTCTGTTTTGATTCTGGAAGAACTAGACCACAGAAGGTTCTCCAAGTGCTTATTAAAATGTTTGCAAACTTGCTGAATCTGACTTTTAGGGAAGAAAATGCATTTGAACACCCCTGAGCTAAAGATGCAAAAGTCAGAAGTAAACATCTCCCTACGAACAACTTTTCTAAGTCACACACACAAGGAAATGCTGCAACACGCACACGGCCTTACACGTAATTTCTAGATCTTTAGAAGTACAGACAACCAACACAGGAAGTTCTCTGGTTAGGTAAAATAAATTTCCTCTTCAAGTAATATTCATGAAGCTCTGCAGCTGCCACACAGCTCGGTTTCCCTTCTCTTGTTATTTCAACGCTTGAGAAAAAAAAGGAAGTATTTAGCTTTGTGAAGGGGTGGGGCGGAGGAAGACAGAATAGTCACTTCTCTAAGCCCACTACCTCCATTACACGCAGATACAAACTCAACAAGGCAGCCTCAGAATTACAGATGCTACTACTAGCTACGCAGAAGAGGAAACGCAGGTCCCTGAACATAGAGAGCTGCATGAAGTTTGTTGAAAATCGTGTCCCGTTGATCGAAAAGAAAAGGATGCAACGGAAGTGATCTAAAGTGCTTTTCCTATCACATCAGCCCACCAGTCCCCAAATAATAAAGCTTCCGCTACCTGAACCCCAGTCTAAGACATTCAGCACTTCTGGACACAGGGAATTCTTGGATGTGTGTTGCATGGCTGATTCTTTGAGGACAAAATAGTGTGTGGTCCTGAAGACAGAAAGAGAGAAAACAGAAACATGCATACAAGCAAAGACATTCCCCCAGAGGGGAAAAGGAGAGAACAGCAAGCTAACTAAGCACTCACAGCCACTGCGGAAAGGCAAACTGGCTCCCTCTCAACGCATTTTGAGTTATCAGGCAGCACTCTGACATGACAAGGTTGGGATTAAAGACGGTCACAAACAATTCATTTTCTTAAGTAGCTCGCGGTTTTGAAGATGACTAATTTAATGTATAGTGATCGCCCACATTCACTCCGTAGCAGGACACTAACCGAGCAGATTTATAGCAGATTTCTATGCTAATGGAATCTGCTTCAGAAAAATTATCAGGTCACCCCAGAAACATTTTCTGAGTTTGTTTTTGTGGTGTTTTTTTTTTATTTATCCCTTGCAGAGTTGAATCAAAGATAGTAAGCCATTAGTTCTCATCTGCAAAAACTAAAATGCTTAGAGTATGTCTTAGCAGAGAAGCCAGTCCTTCACTGGCTCTCCGCAATCTCCCTACCCACACATTTGCGTATCTTATCGTACATCTTCAGCGCGGAGTGGGTGGGTTACTAGCCCCAACGAAAACTCTCCTCTGGCTCCAGCGCACAGCTGCAGAAAAACCAGCTAACCTGGAATGCTGGCAACACTCCTCTGTGACCCACAGAGTACGTGACCCACGGAGTTTGGTGCATGGGGACAGCAGAGTTCAGGACAGCAACCAAACTAGAGCGTAACTCGCCTAGGCCGGTATCTTTTAGATGTGAGGGGAAGAAGACAGGCATGACACTCCCTATAAAATAAGACTTAGCATCCCAACTGCTTTAGAAAACGCGGTTCCTTTAGACATCTTTATCCTTGCCTAGGAAACCTATCACCGCAGAAAATCAGGCTCAGTTCAGTAACAGATTTCAACTCGCACCCCTTCCTTCCCGGTACTTTCTGCATCTGTTCATGCCCTCCGGCTCCGGCGCCTGCAGAGCCAACCCGCAGGTTTCCCCGCG